ACTGTGTGGCGAAACGTTTCCTCAATAAAGATACCCAAGAGTTGCACATGTGTCTAATTTATCAACATGTCGGTTCTCTGAACCATTCATCTACAAACCTGTCAGACACTGCAACTTCTTGGGATCTTAATACTTGGGAATTCTTCGCTTGCCTAATTCTTGGGCACGACCTACTTCAACATTGAACAAATGTTACACGACCTATGACTGCTTCACCTCTCCTGCCAACGGTTTATAAGCTCCTTCTCAGCACGTATGCCGTATTCTATTCAAGATTGATGGACTGACCACATCGACTCAAGGTTGAGGGACTGATTACCTCATTCTCCTCCTGTTCTTCAAGATTCTCCTTTGTATGGACTGATGAAGTCACTGTGTGGCGAAACGTTTCCTCAATAAAGATACCCAAGAGTTGCACATGTGTCTAATTTATCCCCCTGTGGATGTTTTGCACATGTGTGCGTGTGTGTGTGTGTGTGTGAATTTTTACATACTCTGTAGCCACGACGACGACAACATAACCACATTCACAATAACAACAAACCACAGCCACAACAACAATTCGCAGCCTCAACAACAACAACAACCATAACAACAAACAAACCACAGCCGAAACGACAACAAATCACAACCACAGCAACAACAAAAAACAAATCAGAAAAAAAACTTTAACACTTGTACATGTACAAATAACATAGCTGCTGTGTACTTTAAAAGTTAGAACGTTGTGGTAGAGACAAACAGTCATCTGATACTAAGGCATGTTGTAATACCTTGATTGCATAGCATGTTTGGGGATAAACTGAAAAATCTAGGCTGCCTTTTCATTAGTTGGACAGTTATGACGACGTGATGACGTTGCAGCATTTGACTGGATGGTCTTAGAGTGACGACTCAACAAGCTTCCTTGGCTCTTAGGCCAATGACGTCAGATGGCGTCCCATAACGATGACGTCAGAGTCGATGACGCTGGCGCCGCCATTGAGCTTGATGTCAGTGACGTCATGCCTGGCGCCGAAGGATATGCAAGACAGAGGTTTACCTAACCTCTTAAAAGATTGTAGATGAATGGTTCACAGAACCGACATGTTGATAAATTAGACACATGTGCAACTCTTGGGTATCTTTATTAAGGAAACGTCTCGCCACACAGTGGCTTAATCAGTCCATACACAGGAGAAACTTGAATCTTAAAAGATGATAACGGCCGACATGATCCCAGGAGGCTGGGTTGAGTTCTCGGGTGCATAATGGTAGTCGCTGAATGTAGCATTTCTTGTATAGAAAGTAAGCATTGTATGGAAATCTATACATGTACAGGAATTAAGTCATGCACAGAAACTAAACCTTATATTGAAATGAAGTCGTGTATAAAAAACACACAGAAGCGCGAATGTACGTACACACACGTACACACGCACAAGTGGTATTTAATCAATAACAACACTGCGACTAGCCGAGGATTCGAACCCGTGTTATTTTAGCCCGCCTCATTGTGAGAGAAAATTTACGGCGCTCTAACCCACGGGACCATACAGTCCTACAAGACTCACGCACCCAGCAGAGCTAGGTGTTGTACCGTGATCCAAGGACATACGATGGTGTGGGTGCTTCAGAGCTAATTTCATCTTCCTCCCCGTTTGGTGTACTAGCCTCCACGAGCAGTATATATAGTATTGTAACCACGAACGAGTGGTATTTAACCGAACTGTAAGGAATGAAGTTCTTCGATTTAGTTGCCGAGTTCGCAGATGCCAGTTGAGAACCCAAGATGCAAGCCTCACCCAACAGTAAGAGACAAGCCTCACCCAACAGTGAGAGACAAGCCTCACCCAACAGTGAGAGACAAGCTTCACCCAACAGTGAGAGACAAGCCTCATCCAACAGTGAGAGACAAGCCTCATCCAACAGTGAGAGACAAGCCTCACCCGACAGTGAGAGACAAGCCTCACCCAACAGTGAGAGACAAGTTTCACCCAACAGTGAGAGACAAGCCTCACCCAACAGTAAGAGACAAGCCTCACCCAACAGTGAGAGACAAGCCTCACCCAACAGTGAGAGACAAGCTTCACCCAACAGTGAGAGACAAGCCTCACCCAACAGTAAGAGACAAGCCTCACCCAACAGTGAGAGACAAGCCTCACCCAACAGTGAGAGACAAGCCTCATCCAACAGTGAGAGACAAGCCTCACCCGACAGTGAGAGACAAGCCTCACCCAACAGTGAGAGACAAGTTTCACCCAACAGTGAGAGACAAGCCTCATCCAACAGTGAGAGACAAGCCTCATCCAACAGTGAGAGACAAGCCTCACCCAACAGTGAGAGACAAGCCTCACCCAACAGTGAGAGACAAGCCTCACCCAACAGTAAGAGACAAGCCTCACCCAACAGTGAGAGACAAGCCTCACCCAACAGTGAGAGACAAGCCTCATCCAACAGTGAGAGACAAGCCTCACCCGACAGTGAGAGACAAGCCTCACCCAACAGTGAGAGACAAAGTTTCACCCACAGTGAGAGACAAGCCTCATCCAACAGTGAGAGACAAGCCTCATCCAACAGTGAGAGACAAGCCTCACCCAACAGTGAGAGACAAGCCTCACCCAACAGTGAGAGACAAGCTTCACCCAACAGTGAGAGACAAGCTTCACCCAACAGTGAGAGACAAGCCTCACCCAACAGTGAGAGACAAGCTTCACCCAACAGTGAGAGACAAGCTTCACCCAACAGTGAGAGACAAGCCTCATCCAACAGTGAGAGACAAGTTTCACCCAACAGTGAGAGGTAAACACCACGGGAGAGAAGTGAGGAATATCTTTCTCAATTGACCATATTTGTGAGACAGTTGGGTTACTAAAGAAGAAAGTAAGGGATATCTCTCTCAGTCATATTTGTTAGTCACTTGGATTTCTACAAACAGGAAGAGAAATATTCCTCGTTTTGCGAAACATTATACTTTTATGGTCGTACATTTACGTTCCTGCGCTCCTCTCTGCATTTTGCAAATTGTTCCTTTCTAAATTTCAAACATTCGCTGATATGTTTATAAACATTAAAGGTTAGAGCAGGTTCCACTCACATGCTAACACCAGCAAAGCTTCTCACTTGTATACAATGGTTTGAAAATCAATCGTCCGGCCACCAACAATGCCATGTACATCACATGAATAATGCCACTCTTGTTTCCTTTTGATGTGGTAACAATGCTTTAATTAAGCATCAATATAAAAATTGGCTTTGGAAATTAAAATATGTTTTTTTTTAACCAGTACCCCAGGACATACTGTCTCTCTCCCAGTACCCCAGGACATACTGTCTCTCTCCCATTACCACAGGACATACTGTCTCTCTCCCAGTACCCCAGGACATACTGTCTCTCTCCCAGTACCCCAGGACATACTGTCTCTCTCCCAGTACCCCAGGACATATTGTCTCTCTCCCAGTACCCCAGGACATACTGTCTCTCTCCCATTACCACAGGACATACTGCCTCTCTCCCATTACCCCAGGACATACTGCCTCTCTCCCAATACCCCAGGACATACTGTCTCTCTCCCATTACCACAGGACATACTGTCTTTCACCCACTACCCCAGGACATACAGTTACTCACCCAATAATCCAGGACATATTGTTACTCACCCAGTAATCCAGGACATATTGTCCCTCTCCCAGTACCTCAGAATATACTGTCCCTCTCCCAGTACCCCAGAACATACTGTCCCTCATCCAGTACCCCAGGACATACTGTTACTCACCCAGTAATCCAGGACATACTGTTACTCACCCAGTAATCCAGGACATACTGTCCCTCTCCCAGTACCTCAGGACATACTATCCCTCAACCAGTACCCCAAGCCATACTGTTACTCGCCCAGTAATCCAGGACATATTGTCCCTCTCCCAGTACCTCAGGACATACTTCCCCTCACCCAGTACTCCAGGACATACTGTCCCTCACCCAGTATCCCAAGCCATACTATTACTCACCCAGTACTCCAGGACATATTGTTACTCACCCAGTAATCCAGGACATATTGTCCCTCTCCCAGTACCTCAGAATATACTGTCCCTCTCCCAGTACCCCTGGACATACTGTTCCTCTCCCAGTACCCCAGGACATACTATCCCTCTCCCAGTACCCCAGGGCATACTGTCCCTCTCCCAGTACCCCAGGGCATACTGTCCCTCTCCAGTACCCCAGGGCATACTGTCCCTCTCCCAGTACCCCAGGGCATACTGTCCCTCTCCCAGTACCCCAGGGCATACTGTCCCTCTCCCAGTACCCCAGGGCATACTGTCCCTCTCCCAGTACCCCAGGGCATACTGTCCCTCTCCCAGTACCCCTGGACATACTGTTCCTCTCCCAGTACCCCAGGGCATACTGTCCCTCTCCCAGTACCCCAGGGCATACTGTCCCTCTCCCAGTACCCCAGGGCATACTGTTCCTCTCCCAGTACCCCAGGGCATACTGTCCCTCTCCCAGTACCCAGGGCATACTGTCCCTCTCCCAGTACCCCAGGGCATACTGTCCCTCTCCCAGTACCCCAGGGCATACTGTCCCTCTCCCAGTACCCCAGGGCATACTGTCCCTCTCCCAGTACCCCTGGACATACTGTTCCTCTCCCAGTACCCCAGGGCATACTGTCCCTCTCCCAGTACCCCAGGGCATACTGTCCCTCTCCCAGTACCCCAGGGCATACTGTTCCTCTCCCAGTACCCCAGGGCATACTGTCCCTCTCCCAGTACCCCAGGGCATATTGTCCCTCTCCCAGTACCCCAGGGCATACTGTCCCTCTCCCAGTACCACAAAACTAAGCGAAGTTTTCATTCTGTGTTACAATTCTTTATAATGTATTCTTTCAATATGGATAGAATGGCAATGTTTTCCGTACAACACAAAACACAAAATTATTTTCCTACGACAACACAAAAACTTCTCATGTTTTTGGCACACTACAGGAGTAACACACGGTGACATGATTTTTTATTTTTCCTTGCAGAGTGGTGTGCGAGGGGGCCCAAGGATCATGACCGGTGGAGATGAGATCCGCGGAGACAGTGCAGGAAGCCCTACTGGAAACGGTGTAAGGGACCTTGTTGAAGACAGAGCAGGTGGCCCTGCTGGAAACTGCGGTGACTCCGTTCGCTTCAACAAAAGAACAGACGTTAAAAGATCAAAAGACAAAAACCGAGGCCACAGAAACAGCTCTGGGGGAAGAAGTGATCCTGGTGGAGGGTGGAGAGGCGGTATGGATGGTGGAGGACACAGAAGATTAGACACGGGCAATACTAACGAGGCGAATCCAGTAATCCGTCTTCTGGTGCTCGGGGGACACGGCGTCGGAAAATCAGGTGAGTTTCAGTGTATCTATTTTAAGATGAAAAATAAAAATAACTGACCTATTATTTGGGTTACTTGCCTCTACCTTACCAAGGCTTACTATATGATAACCCTCTGGGAAAATTGCATTTTAATACCTTGATGAGTTTTGTCTCCGTTTGCTGATCGTGTATTATCCTGTCGTTTAGCACTGCTTGTATTAGTAAAACGATCTCCGTTTTATCTTGCACTGTTAGTTAGTTATTCTGTTTCTGCCCTTTCGTTTTCTGGGGCGGCTGGTGGTGGAGGAAAGATACAGCAAGGAATGAGCTGGGGTTTCATCAAGACTGTAAATAGGTAGGAGAAATATTTGGGATCGTATTAGAAAGGGAGAATAATAAGAAGAGTGGAAGTGTGACAAAGAATAGAAGTTGTGACAGTGGGAGAACTTATGACAGGCTGGGAGAGGTTGTGACACAGAGTGGGAAAACTTGTAATAGACTGGAAGAGGTTGTGACAGAAATAGTGGGAGGTGTTGCAGCTGTGTGTATGAAGAAAGATAAGAGACCTCAAGAGTAATAGGTAGGAGCTGGAAAATAAGGAAGATGTAATGTGTAGTACAAGATTAGAGGGATGATGGGTGGGATGAAGTATGTAAGCAAAATAGAGTTACGGGAAAAGCGTAGGATAGGGAAGTAGAATGCTCATCGATAGGGAATTAGTGGCGACGGCGAGATTAACATTTGGGGTTGGAGGTAAGGTACTGGAACTAAGAATAAGAGTAGGACTGATAGTTCTCGGGGTTCCACACAAAGAGGGGATGGAGGCTGGGGCTCAACACAATGGAAGATGAATCTCCACACAAGTGGGAAGATTCCTGGAAACAGTAGTCACTCATACAGGTGAATCAGGGAACATCCAGCACTGCGTGAAGAGACGCCTACTGGTGACCTGGTGACATCACCCACCCCTTCACTTCGCCACTGCCCCCAGACTTAACTGAAGATACCGTTGCACCACCACATCTCACCAGTAAATGTGGGAGGTTGTTGAAGCATTCTTTGTCACTAGAAAAAATCTCAGCTTGGGTGGAGACGTGATTAAAAGGAAATCCTGCTCTGCTGTATTAGATTGCATTTTCCCTGACGCTATCTTACTCCTTCAATCCACAGTACCTCTCATTCTTCCACTGTGTCTTCCTCCACTCTCTACCTTTTACTCCACCCTCCAGTCTCAGCCTTCAACTGTATTTCCCTCCAGTCTCAACTTTCAACTCCATTCTCCACTTCCTATTCAATTCCCGTCCCTCTCTACCTCCCATTCTAGCCTCCTCCACTCCCTACCTTTCACGCTATCCTCCTTAATTCTTTCCACTCTATCCACCGCCACTCTCTATCTCAGCTGTCCTGTGTCTTGGTTGGTAACGCTCTCGCCTCACGCACTGAGTGTCTTTGGTTCAGTCCCGGTGTGGGTGGAAAAGTTAGGCATGTTTCCTTACAACTGCTGTCCCTGTTCACCTAGCAGTAAGTAGGTACCTGGATGTTAGTCACCTTACAACTGCTGTCCCTGTTCACCTAGCAGTAAGTTGGTACCTGGGTGTTAGTCGACTGTTGTAGGTCGCATCCTGGGGGACGAGATTAAAGGACTCCAATGGAAATAAGACAATCTTCGACGACGCACTGATTTTCTTGGGTTATCCTGGGTGGTTCACCCTCCGGGGTTAAAAATCCGAACAAATCTTATCTTATTCTATCCCCACTACTCTCTACCTTCACATCTGACTCACAACTGCAAGGCTTGGGTTCCTTGACTAAGAGAAACCCTTGGATTTGAGTGGGACTTGTACATGAGTTAATAGAGTTATCAACGCTTATTCCTTGAGTAGCAATGGAAATGGGCTGGGCAAATGTTTTTGTTAGTTGGTCTGGGTTTGAGAAAGACTTGCCTAGCATGAGCCAGCAGACCAGCTGCAGTGTTCCTCCATTCTTAAGTTCCTATAAAAAGTCTACGTTTCAGACTCATCTTTCTACTCACACATTACTCACCCACCCTAGCAATCCACTCACTTACTCATCTTCCTCTCCCACCCACCTACGGCCATGGTCTTGGAAACATAAAACGTGAAATGTAACCCCAGAGAGCCGTGAAGCTCTGGGTGAGAAAGTGAGGGAGTGCTTCATCACGACTCCCATCAATGGTAGTGGTGCTTGCTGTGGGTATGGTGTGAGCGAAGTGTGGGTGTGGCATGGGTGTAGTGGGAGTAGTGTTGGCATAGCGTCTGCATAGTGCTGGAGTAGCATGGGTGTGTGTGAATTTGGCATGAGCGTGGAGGAGGGTGGGATGTGATGGGTGACATGGGATGTGGTAGTGGGCGTAAGCGAAAACAGAGTATGAAACGAATTCTAACCACATAATAAAACGAGAAACTAAACTGAAGGACCTAGGAGTAGTAATGTCAGAGGATCTCACCTTCAAGGATCACAACAATATCATTATCATAACAGGGAGAAAAATGATAGGATAGATAATAAGAACCTTTTTCAAAACAAGGGATGTCAAGCCACTAATGATCCTCTTTAATATACTAACAGCCCCTTTCAAGGCAGACGAAATTGCAGATCTGGATAATGTACAGAGCACCTTCATTGCACATATAAGTTCAGTAAAGCAACTGAGTTACTGGGAAAGTTTGAAGGTACTTGACCTGCACTCCTTGGAGAGCTGGCGAGAAAGATACATCATAATTTACACCTGGAAAATCCTAGATGGACTGATCCCAAATCTTTAAACACAAAAACAAAACTCGGCAGGCGGTGCAACTTCCCTCAATGAAAAGCCGTGAGTACACTGAGAGAAAACACAGTGTCAGGAGCCCAAGGCTGTTCAACATCATCCCCATCATATTTATATAAGGGGGTAAGGGGGATTACCAGTAGACCCTTACGTCTTAAAGGGAGGGTTTGGAGTCAATTTGATTTCGAACTTTAAATAGGTTTTGATCTGAGTTCAATGTGCTCGATAACGTTATGTTTTGTACCAGATCATTATCTGTCTTCCATTCAGGGTGGTTCCAGCGTTTGCCGATTTAAGGTGAACATGTCACAGAGTCTTCAAGAGTTCATTTTTATGGGGCAGTTCCTTTATACTTTTTCTAGGGATTATATCTTTTATCACTGATGCCTCCATTCGTCCAGTGAATGTAATTTAACGGAAAATCTCTTAGAAAAAGATGATGTTTGATGGCGGCTGTATGAGGCTTGTGAGGCTGATTTCTAAGATTCTATGAATTTGCATTTAGTGATGTGTGTATTTTTTTTTTTCGTTTTTCCAGTACTCAGTCATCAATACTTCGTTGTCACAGTAGACTTCGGTATGGGACTCTGTGAAGGTGAGAATGCTGCATTTGCCTTGGCAAGCAAGTCACTTATAAAAGATATGCTTTTCATCAAAAATTTGTTGAAGACATTGTGTGTTTGCGAACATGTAAAATGAACAGACGTCAAAGTACCGTGGCTGAAACAGTTCACCAGCAACTCTCACTCTGCAAAGGACTAGATGAAGTTCCGGGACGGATCGAAATGTTGTCTAAAGTTTCATCTCCAAATTGAGGATGTAGTGTGAAACTGAATGATGCAGCAGTTATTTTGTTTGTGTTAGAAGTTGCTGGCGTTGCTAACTGGTGGTATCATATGCAGCCACTGAATTTGCATTGTGTGAAACATGGTTCCGAGATAGATAAAACTGTCATTTTTTTAACATTCTCTTCTTTCTCTGATTAAAAAAAGAAGACGCCCTGGTTTACATGAAGAACTGAACTTCTCGTGGCTTGACTCGTCTGCTTTTTTTTTTTCTTTTGATGTGGATCATATGGTAGTCTGTGTCATAGAAGTGTTTTTTATTTAATATAAACTATCGCACATTTCTGAGTGGAAATATTTGTTGGTGCTGTAACATTTATCTTTAGTGAGATAAATCAGTATAATTCTGAGGCGATCATATATTGCATATAGAGAAGCTGCAGAGATTGGTGGATGAATTTGGTAGGGTGTGCAAAAGAAGAAAATTAAAAGTGAATATAGGAAAGAGTAAGGTAATGAGGATAACAAAAAGATTAGGTGATGAAAGATTGGATATCAGATTGGAGGGAGAGAGTATGGAGGAGGTGAATGTATTCAGATATTTGGGAGTGGACGTGTCAGCGGATGGGTCTATGAAAGATGAGGTGAATCATAGAATTGATGAGGGGAAAAGGGTGAGTGGTGCACTTAGGAGTCTGTGGAGACAAAGAACTTTGTCCTTGGAGGCAGAGGGGAATGTACGAGAGTATAGTTTTACCAACGCTCTTATATGGGTGTGAAGCATGGATGATGAATGTTGCAGCGAGGAGAAGGCTGGAGGCAGTGGAGATGTCATGTCTGAGGGCAATGTGTGGTGTGAATATAATGCAGAGAATTCGTAGTTTGGAAGTTATGGAGGAGGTGCGGGATTACCAAAACTGTTGTCCAGAGGCTGAGGAAGGGTTGTTGAGGTGGTTCGGACTTGTAGAGAGAATGGAGCGAAACAGAATGACTTCAAGAGTGTATCAGTCTGTAGTGGAAGGAAGGCGGGGTAGGGGTCGGCCTAGGAAAGGTTGGGGGGAGGGGGTAAAGGAGGTTTTGTGTGCGAGGGGCTTGGACTTCCAGCAGGCATGCGTGAGCGTGTTTGATAGGAGTGAATGGAGACAAATGGTTTTTAATACTTGACGTGCTGTTGGAGTGTGAGCAAAATAACATTTATGAAGGGGTTCAGGGAAACCGGCAGGCCGGACTTGAGTCCTGGAAATGGGAAGTACAGTGCCTGCACTCTGAAGGAGGGGTGTTAATGTTGCAGTTTAAAAACTGTAGTGTAAAGCACCCTTCTGGCAAGACAGTGATGGAGTGAATGATGGTGAAAGTTTTTCTTTTTCGGGCCACCCTGCCTTGGTGGGAATCGGCCAGTGTGATAATAAAAAAAAATAATTCTTTTTCCCCATTATCTTTATTTTAAGATTCCTCAAAAAATATCGGGATATTTGAATCTTCGGTTGATTGCCTCTCATGGGATGCGTGTTGAAAGACATAAAATTCCACGCTGAAATAAGGGTCACTGGATAAAGAGGTTTTCATCATCACGAGGAGCCTCGCAACAGCGGGATGTCCAGCAATAAGAGAGTCGTCCCAACAAGTGTCCAGGTGAAATTACTATGCAAACAGGTGTAGGACTACACATGTGCATTCGCAGTGGCTGATACCTGTTTCCAATACAGCAGAGAGGAAGGAGAGGCAGCTGCCAGCTTCATGGAATCCAAGAACTCTAGAAAATATGGTGAACTTGCCCATCATTATATGTTTGTTCCCATAGGTTCAGAGACTCCTCGGCCCATGGGAAAAAAGCGCATCTAAGTTCCTTTAGGAGCTAGACAATAGACTCATCAGGGCAACTAAGGATCCCAGGTCAGCTAGTTTTCTGTTCCAACGGTTCAGTGCTGCAGTTCTGAGAGGTAATTCCTGTTGAATCCTCGGTACGCGCCCCAGTTCTGAGGAATTGGATGAGGTATCTGTGATGTAATTTTTGACAACCATATGTATGTATTCATAAAGTGTCCATCAAACCCCATGTTTTGTATACTTCATCTCTGTACTATTACTGTATTCTTTAAGCTTTGTTTATTATATTACAAAATAAATATACCTATTTGTGAAATCATATATTCCTACAATCAGTAATGTATTTTTTGCCCCTTTTATAGTTTCTCCTTTAAACCCTCATTCGTATGTACCTTTATTCATTATTTTACATTTTTCTTACCTTGCATCTTTTGTGTTTCATTCTTTTGCTCTTCCTTCATTCCATCCTACACCCAACCATACGTAAACAATGAACTGATGGATCTTCCTCTCTCTCTCTCTCCCTCTCAGCCATCACCGTGCGATACCTCACTCGTCGCTTCATAGGAGAATACAAGTCACAAATAGGTGAGTTTTAGTCCAGTAAGCCTTATCTAGGTGTTTTAGGTCAGATAAGCCTTTAACCGGGAGTCCCAGTCCAGTAAGTCTTAGCTGGATGTTTCAGGCATCACTGACTCGGCAAGCGTTAGGTAGGTGTCTCGGGTCCAGGAAAACCTTTGATAGGCATCTCATGTCCAGGCTCCCCAGGTGAAGTATGCCAGGGCCAAGGCCAGTAAGCCCAGAGCTAATATCCCAGTGTCAGTAAACTAGGCATTCAAGGTTTTAACTAGTTAGAAAAAGACAAAGTTACAGAACAAGGTCTTATTGGGACAACGTTTCAAATTAAACAGATGTTACAGTTGATATACTCCTGGAAGATAGTGTGAAAGCAGGTGAACAGAGGTGAGGTTTCTCCTGGTTATGTATTCTGTAAAAATATTAATGTTCTTGTATTCTGGTTTTTAAATTTCGTGAAATTTCTGTGAGTTGTAAAACGTATCCAGTGTGAAGAATGGTGTACACCTCTGGTGGTGTTGTTAGCGTGACTGTTGTGTCTTGATCTGGTGACATCTCCTGGGGTTTCTAAGGAGATAATTACGACATTCGTGGCAGATGCAACCAGTGCCTATGTAACTATATCAGCAGTGTTTCCTGTGGGAAGACTGTGACATCTGTCAGAAGCTTCGTTCACTTTGGGGTGTGGAAAATATAATCTGAGTTCACTATCTGCAATGAAGTGTGAAAGAAAATTCTGTGGTGAAAAGTGAAGATTTTACTAGTAACGTCACATTTTCCTCCAGGTATTCAAGACTGCGTTGTAGATTCTGTAGGTTTCAAAAAAAAAAAAAAGCCGATCAGAATCAACCATATGGACGTAGGTTCAGCAGCACTCTGTAGGCTTCCCCGGTCTAGTAAATCTTAGCTATGAGTCCAAGGTCTAGCAAACTCAGCTAGACTTCCAAGATCTAGTAAGCCTTAGCTTGACGTCAAAAATCCAGGGTGACTTAGCTAAGTACCCCAAGTCCAAGAAGAGTAGCTGATTTTCCTCAGTCAAATAGTTGGCAGGTTCCGATATATTATTATATTATTGACGGTGCCAAGCCATGAAGGGTCATTCAATGCCACTCAGCCAAGGTAGAATTACTGTTATATTTAGGGGAAAGTACTAAACCCATAGACAACATCAACTTCATTATGTGTAGTGACTATACCCTACATGACCAAAATACTCTAGCTATATACTTGTCCAAACTTCCTACCACTACAGATATCAGTACTAGAACTCAACACACAACTCAGGATATAAATAACCATAATTTAAAAATAGAAGATGATTGATCACGTTGACCCTGATCTAAACCTCCATAATCTGACACCCAATCAAAACCTATTGGAAAGTAACTGCCTTTATTACACAGCATCACAAGCCACCACTATCCTAAACAATGCTAAAAGTCTATCAGTACTTAACTACAACATCAGGTCCTTAAGCAAACACTATGATGACTTCCTAGCACTCCTTGAATCACTAAAGACACCCTTCTCCTGCATTATTCTTACTGAGACCTGGCTTAAGCAGGACACAATAGATATCTACCCTCTACCAGGATACACAGCAATTCACAACTGCAGACCAAACCAAGTTGGGGGTGGTATTGCAATCTATTACTCTAACCAGTTATCTTGTCTTAGCACCACTTCTTTAGTGATGAATATGGGAATACATTTTGCTATTTTACTGTAAAAAACCTTAAGACGCCTATAACAATCGGTGCCATTTACCGGATACCTCACACAAACATCCCAAATTTCAGTGAGAAATTAAAGTCACTAATAACAAACAGACAAATGAATAAGCACCACCTTCTCTTAGCTGGAGACTTCAACATCAACCTTGGCTTACTAGATGATCAGCCTGTAACTGATTTCATCAACAATATGAACAACATACTTCTCATACCAACAATAACTAAAACCAACCAGGCTCACTGAGGACAAGTGCAACCATAATAGACCACTTTATGGACCAATATACTAGCCCCCTTAAATCAGGGATAATCACAGATAGCACTACAGACCACTACCCTACCTTCCTCCTGACAAACTTTTGTAAACCACACTTAAATACAACGAAGTTTTCATTTAGACTCCATGACGAGGCCTCAGTAAGGAAGTTCACAGCTGACCTAGAGACTGTTGTTTGGGCCCTACAGAATTCTCCAAGGCCAATGGTTTTGATGACTGGACAGGACATTTTTCTTAACAAAAAATTAGACTTTTACAAAAAACATTGTCTATAAAAACAAAACAGATCACAAACAAACGGTTTGGGGTTCCCCATGGCTAACCAGCACCATTCTGAAAATCCATTGACAAGAAACACCAATATGAAAAGCAATATAGAACAGGGCTTAATACACAAAGATACTCTTAAACACTATTCATCAGTTCTCACCAAAGTAATAAAGAAAGCCAAACAAACTTTTACTTTTCCCATTTAGATTCACAGACACTAGAGGAGATATAAAAAGACCTGGAAAAAACCTCTCTCAAATTTCTAGGGCCCAAACAAACTGAGGAAACCAAGATATTGCCCTAACTAAACCTAATGAAACACCACTACATCCCACTGACCAGCTAACAAGGATAAACGACTTTTCTCAAACATAGGATCTAATCCCCAGTAAAATCCCACATACCAATGCCCTTGCCGGGGGACTTACCTAGATGGGAATTTCCCAAATTTCCTTCTATCTTGCACCAACTGAGCCCACGGAAGTCATTGAGTCATAAAGTCACTTAAAAATAACTCGGGGATTCTGTCTCATGTCCCACCATTACTGTAAAAGCGAGCGGCCCATGTCCTTTCGCATGCTATTTCATTCTTTTTAACAAATAAATAGAGACTGGGCACCTTCCCGAAACTACTCAAGATGGCAAGGGTTTAAACACCAATACATAAAGGTGGTGCCCCTACAGACTTAAAAAAACTATGGCCAATATCTAACTTACCATTGCTATCCAAAATCTTTGAGAAACTCGTGCACAGGATACTGTATTCATTTATAACGGCTCAAAACTACTAAACCCCCTGCCAGTTTGGATTCAGGAAAAAAAAGCACTATTTATGCAATCATAAAAATGCTAGATCTGCTTTACACAGCATTGGAAAATAAGGAATATCCACTCGGAATTTTTATTGACCTAAGAAAAGCTTTTGACACAGTAGACCAGAATCCCACTCCACAAACTTGATCATACGGTATAAGAGGCCCTGCGCTTGCTTATTTCAAATCTTACATTACTAATAGGTATCAGTACGTCACCATTAAAGACACAGCATCAGCAACACGGCACTTGATACTGGAGTTCCGCAGGGAAGTGTCCTTGGTCCCTGCTCTTCCCCATTTACATCAATGACCTTCCACGTTATCCCACACCTGAAACCATTTTTCTTTGCTGATGACACGACTTATGTCATCTCTCACCCTAATCTTGCCACCCCAATACCATTGTGAATGAGGAGCTGATTAAAATATCGACTTGGGTGACAGCCAATAAACTTACGCTTAACACTGACAAAACCTACTATATTATGTTTGGTAGCAGAGCAGGAGATGCACAAATTAACATTAAGATTGACAACACTCTAATTACCAGAAAAAATGGGGGAAAATTCCTAGGCTTATACCTTGACAACAACCTGAATTTCAGCACCCATATCCAGGGATATAAGCCAAAAAAGTATCCAAAACGGTTGGGATCCTCTCCAAGATACGATACTACGTGCCGCAAAATGCCCCTTTTCACACTATACCACTCACTATTTATCCATACCTCACCTTGCTATTTGTGCTTGGGGATCAACTGCAGCAACACACCTAAAGCCCAAAAATAACCCAACAAAAAGCTGCAGTAAGAATAATCACTAAATCCATCCCTGGCAACACACCCCCCACTCTTCAAGACCTAAACTTACTTCCAGTTCAAATACATCCACACTTACTCTGTGGGAATCTACATCTACGGGCCTTAAACTCTAATATCAACCTTGACCTAAAAAAGCTTTCTTGATAGTTGTGACAGAACCACAGGCATAACACAGACACAAACATTCTCTACGACATTCCCCGTGTCCGACTAAACCTTTACAAAATTTCAATGTATGTCAAAGGCCCTAAAATCTGGAATACCCTACTGAGAACTTAGAACTGCGACACATCATCCACCTTCAAATACCATTAGAAAACATTTATCTCCTGATCCACCCGTCAAACTAACGACACGAATACCTCCCCCTTGGTGGTTCACACTTACACTCACTCACTCATTTGACCATAAACAGAATTATTAATCTCAGTCTTAAAATAATGAATCCTGTGATCTCCAATCCTGAAACTATGTACGTGCCAAAACAAAGCATTCACATTGCTAAAACTTACAAACTGTATTAGTCACTTAGCCATAATACCAACTTACCTCATAATTTGTAATATTTTACAATTAAGAATAAAACTAAGTATGCCCGAAATGCCTAGCCATGCTAAGCGTTCTAGTGGTACACTCTGTAATCACAATTTTACTACATGTAAACCAAACAATAACCAAATTTCTGTAAACTCAGCATTGTAATCCTTATAGAGAATAAACTTTGAATTTGAATATGAATCATACAACGCCTGAGGTAGCCAATCAGATTCGATCTTTGAATTAAGAGTCCCTCACCATCATGAAGAAACCTTCCTTGAGGACAGTAGAGGCCAAACATAGTAGGAAAGAGGCGAGGTAGGTATGATGAAGGTAAGAATGTTATTCACTCAATGGTAGGTCCAGAAGATGGGTTGTGGGAGTGAGAGGGGTCATTAGTGTACTTCATGTTCGAGACCGCACGATCTCTTGGTCACCACCGAACTAGCAGCAGCTTAAACGAAAGAACGAACGAAACTCGAACCATGGTTCTTGCATGTAGCATCCCAAAGCTGTCCTACTAATCCACGACGTTTATAATACGATGATTTTACATACAG